AGCCGGTCCAGACGGTGGGCGCCACCACTCGAGGGAGGAGGAGGATGCTGTAGAGGTTTTTCGACTGTGCCGGTGCCGCTAGCTTTAGCTGCGCATGATTTAGCTATCATTATCGTATCGTGTAAATAGCCAGAATCAAGCAGAAAAGACTAACCTTTTTTTCCATAATCGTCTGGTTCTTCTTGGGATATCCGTTTGATCACAACCCAGGAGGATGTATTTCCTTTTCAGTCTGTCCATTTTCTACATTTGTCTGAGCTCTTCTTTGTATGTTACGTGAACGGAAGGTTGTTTTTCATTTGAAAATGGATGGGATGAAATATAGGACTACTTTTACCAGAATGCTTAGCACCTACGCATGCGCACAACAATCACCCCAACAAACCAGCCAATCGTTGCACAGCTTTTGCGCGGAACGTTGGTTGCTGTTTAAGCGCGAGCAGGACAAACGGAGTCACAAACCAGTATAATTTTATAACAGGAACAACAACCAGACAACAAAAAGGAGGTGGAACATTACATTTAAGTATTTATCTTTAGAAAAAATGTCAAAATATAAGTTTGCCCTTGTTAGTTGGGCGAAGGGACCTGATAAAGGTAAAACCAGCATCGTTGTTGGATAATTGATTTCGACCCAGATACTGCAACTGACACGACATATCTTGTTGAATGTCGAACAACTAACAGCAAGAGGCCTGCTCATGGATGGCCCGTCGAGGATGCTGTCGTTCTTCAGTTAGCAGGCAAGTCAGTCTAACACTTGACTTTTATTTCCTACCAGGTACTGTTTACCGCGTTTATCATGTCAAAATGTGTATCCCGTATTTTACTATTTTGCAGTCTAAAATTTGGCACATTATTATTAAGACTGTAGTATTTATGCATTGCTGTGGTGTTTTCATATTAAATTTATCCATATGAATTAATATAGAAAAAGAGGCTACAGTGAGAGCTGCTGAGCGGAAACTGGAAGCGCGGGAATTGGTGCCGGAACTGAGTGGAAATATCAGAATCAGAATCAGAATCATTTTTTCAGAATCAGAATCATTTTTATTGCCAACGTAAGTAACGGGAGGTCACAGACTTGGAAATTGCTTTGGCTCAGTGCAACAGTCAAAAAGAGATAATAAAAATAAGAATAAAAAACACTTCTAAAGAATAAATTTAAATTTAAAATAGAGTTACAGTTACTATTTACAATATACAAGTGCACATGGTGCACACAATGTAAGGTGACAGCAGTACAGTGAAGTAAAGTGACGTATGATGGGCAGTAAAGTGACTTTATAAAGGGCGGGGGGACAGGTTAAGAAGTGTTCAAGAGTCCAACAGCAGAGGGGAAGAAACTGTTCTTGTGGCGGGAGGTTCTAGTCCTGATGGACCGCAGCCTCCTGCCTGAGGCGGACTCATCGTTGTTGGAGATGAGTCCAATGAGGGTGGTGTCGTCCGCGAACTTGATCAGCTTCACGGAGTCGTGGCTGGAGGTGCAGTGGTTGGTGTACAGGGAAAAGAGCAAGGGAGAAAGAACACAGCCCTGTGGGGCTCCTGTATTTATAATCCGAGAGTCCGAGACATTCTTCCCCAGACGCACTCGCTGCTTCCTGTCCGTCAGGAAGTCAGTGATCCACCTGCAGGTGGAATCGGGCACGTTGAGCTGGGAGAGCTTGTCCTGGAGCAGGGATGGCAGGATTGTGTTGAAGGCAGAGCTGAAGTCCACGAACAGGACCCTGGCGTAGGTCCCCGGGGAGTCCAGGTGCTGTAGGATGTGGTGGAGGGCCAGGTTAATGGCGTCGTCTACAGATCTGTTGGCTCTGTAGGCGAACTGCAGGGGGTCCAGGAGGGGGGAGGTGAGGGACTTGAGATGGGAGAGAACCAGGCGTTCAAATGACTTCATGACGACAGACGTAAGTGCTACAGGTCTGTAGTCATTGAGTCCTGTGATCCTGGGCTTCTTCGGGACGGGGACAATGATGGAGGATTTGAAGCAGGCCGGGACATGGCAGGACTGCAGAGAGGAGTTGAAAATGTCCGTGAACACAGGAGTAAGCTCACTGGCGCAGTGTCTCAGAGTGGCCGGAGACACGTGGTCCGGGCCAGGAGCTTTGCGGGGGTGCAGCCTCAGGAAGAGTTGTTTAATCTCTTTAGCGGCTATTGTTAGGCTGGGGGCAGGGCTGATGGGTGGGTCGTTAGAGTAGTGGGGGGTGGGGGAGGGAGAGGTGTCAGGGGCAGCATCAAAGCGACTGAAAAATAAGTTCAGATCGTCAGCTAGCTTGTGGTCATCAGCACAGGGGGGGGCTTTGGGTTTGTAGTTGGTGATCTCCCGTAGGCCCCTCCAGACAGAAGCAGTATCGTTGTTACCAAACTGCTCCTGTAGTCGTTCTCTGTGCCGGGACTTGGCTGCTTTCAGTTCTTTCCTGAACTGATATTTAGCTGCTTTGTAGCCGCTGCGGTCCCCCTCCCTGAAAGCAGACTCCTTTGCTTTCCTGAGCTGCCGGAGTTTAGCAGTGAACCAGGGTTTGTCGTTGTTATAGATGACCCTGGTCCTTGTTGGAATGATGCTATCCTCACAGAAGTGGATGTATGACGTCACAGTGTCCGTATATTCATCCAAACTGTCTGTGGCAGCTCTGAAAAGGTCCCAGTCTGTAGATTCCATGCATGCGCGCAGCTCTTCCACAGCTTCATCAGACCACACTTTGGAGCTCCTCACTGCAGGTTTCGAGAGCTTTAGTCTCTGTCTGTAAGCAGGAACCAGATGTATCATGGAGTGATCTGAGAAGCCGAGGGCTGGCTTGGGAACAGCGCGAAAAGCTCCGCGCACGGTGGTGTAACAGTGATCCAGAGTGTTCTCCTCTCTGGTCGGGCATTTGATAAACTGTCTGTATTTGGGTAATTCCTGGCTCAAGTTTCCCTTATTAAAATCCCCCAGGATAATAATCAGAGAGTCCGGGTATAAGCGTTCCATACACAGTACTTGCTCTGCGAGTGCGCGCTGAGCCTCGCGCGCGTCCGCGCATGGCGGTATGTAAACAGAGGCAAGAATGAATGAAACAATTTCCCGCGGGGAGTAATATGGTTTACAATGAATGAAAAGATATTCCAGAGCAGGAGAGCAGTGCTTGGAGATCACTGTCACATCGTTACACCAGTTTGTATTGACGTAGAAACAGAGCCCTCCGCCTCTGCTCTTCCCTGAGAGCGCACAATGGCGATCCGCGCGAAACAGCCCAAAGCCCTGCAGCTCCAGAGCGCAGTCCGGGATCCGCTCATTTAGCCAGGTCTCAGTGAAGCAGAGGACACAGGATGTGGCGAAGTCCTTGTTTCTTCTCATGAGCAGGCTGAGTTCGTCCATCTTATTGCCCAGTGAGCGTACGTTGGAGAGAAAAATGCCGGGGAGAGCCGTGCGCGCTCCTCTCCTCCTAAGACGCACGAGCAGGCCTCCTCGCTTTCCCCTTTTACGGGCCCACACTTTTTTGGCTAGAACATGAACTAAATCAGCCGCAGATGCCAAGAAAACAGGCAATAGGTCCATGGGAACGGTGGGTCGGATGTTCATAAGTTCCTCACGGGTGTAGGAACAGCCAGATGCACAGTTAAAAAGTAAAAACAAAAGAAAAAGAGAGCAGCAAAGAGCCATGTCGACCGTACGAGGCGCCATCTTGAAGTGGTTTTTGCCGGCTAAAGCCTGGTTCACACGAGACGATTTTAAAATTGTCGGCCGATTTTTCTCCGTGTTAGACCCCACACGGGGAGATTAAAAATCCTGCGTCTAACCACTTTGGTCGTGCAGTGTGTGGTGCGTAGCCACACGGCAAGATCACGCAAGCCACAAACATCACACACGAACCGACACCCCCCCCCGAGCATTCCCAGGTCAGACGGAAATCTCACAAAATCTCTCGAGATCAAGCGTGACTTCAGAGTAAACAGTCATGGCGGACGAAGAGGATGCAGTGGCGATAGTGTGCAGTTTGTTGTTAACAGAGAAGACACGTAATCCAAAGAAAAGGCAATGGTCAAAGCCATGCTGCTGTGTTTTGGTTTTTTTCCGGTGTTTCCTCACCGGCTTGTCACCTCGTCTTCTTATTGGCTACACGCCGTAGTCATGGCAACGCGCTCGCTTGTCCTCGGAGGACACCACACACGACAAGAAATCGGGCCAAAACAATCCAACATGTTGGATATCCCCGATTTGAGATCGGGAGCAGTCCCGATGTCCTTCCGAGCGACGAGTGCAGTCTTAACACACCACACACGGCAGGATAATCTGTAAGATTTTGTTACGGAAATCGGAGCGTTTCTTAAGATTGTCGTAAGGGGTAAATCGGGTCTAAATCGGCCTAAAGATCCTGCCGTGTGAACCAGGCTTAAGAGGGTGAGAAAAGAAAAACGCCTGGACTTTGGTGAAGAATATTCCGGTGCTGGTGACAAAGCCTCTGGCTCTGGAAAACAGGTAATTCAACAAGGATTGATGTCATATAATGCATCATTTTTGTTTTGGATTATACATGACTAAATGATAGAAAAATATATATTTTTGCTCAATAGAAAAAGGCCAAAGTTGCTGCTCAAAGACGGGCGGAGGAGGAATTACTGTCAGCGGACAGTCAGTTCAGCCCAGGTCCAGCAACATCATCAAGCCAGGAAAGCGATGACTTTACTATAGGTCTGCAGAGCCAGATCAAGGCCTTACATAAAGAAAACTCTAAACTGCGGACCATGGTAGTTAAAGGCAAGTATTGAGAATTATACCATCAATATTTGTATCACATGGCACAATAAGCAAGAAAATGCGGTTGCATTTTGTCTATATGATTGTGCAAGTGATAACAATCAGCCACAATCTGAATTATTTATACTAATTGTTACTGTTAACGCATGCAATTGTTTTCCAACGAGAGTGAAAAGCATAATGTAAGCCAAACATTGCTCTACAATATTTACGCATAACTAGAGAAACTTAGACCTGTTTCATTCTTCTGCATTTTCAGATGGAGAATATGGTCAAACTGTTGGGACGGCCGAGCATTTGGGATCTGGATGAAGGTCTTAAAACCAAAAAGTTCTTCAAACGTGTTGGAGGTGGATGGGCACTGAAGGTAACGTATTTTTCTTTCTTCTGTCATGTCTTAAGCGGCTCATGCCAACACAGTAAATACATTTTATCTTTTGTTCTAGACTCCTGTGGAGATGGAAGACTTTCAAAATTTCCGTTCGGCTTTGACACATCTATACTTTAAAAGATGTCCTTCAGAGACCGAACTAGCCCCGGTAAGTTTATTGAGTGGATATTTTCTGGAATTTGGAAATAAATTAGAGTTAGGTGTTATATTCATAGCATGATGCCATTTTTTACAGTACTACACGAAGAACCCTCAAGAGCTGAGTGAATGCTTGGACCTGGCCGAGAACATGCTCTTTATTGATGGCATTGAGAGGATCACTCCTACTGAAATCCTGAAGCATCCCTTTATCCTGTAAGTGTCGTCCTGCTCTGCTTCCTTTGAAATTCAGATTCTACAAACACCTTCTAGATCAGCTGTTCTAATGTTTATGTCCTGATCTACAGTTGGAACAGTGAGAATGACAATGCTGAGCTTTTTATTTCATACTGTTTTTTATATATATATATATTTTCTTTCATTTCATATCATTATTTTCAGTTAAAAGTCATAAATATGGTAAAAATGTATTAGATCGCTTTAGTGTAGTTCCTGCTCCCGACCACAAGGCGGCGCCACTCCACCTGTACCTCGTGTCTGTGCCCAGAGTCCCAGTTCTGCACGAGTATGGCAGAAAACACAGCAGACACGCGAGTTAACGCAATGTTTATTGTTTTGCAGGTAAAGTGGGACAGTAAAAGTATTATGCAGGGATAGAGAACATTGTTTAGTTGCTAAGGGGACAGTTTAGGCCAATTGTTTCCACCAAATTGTTAATTTCGAGCTATTTTGTAAATGTTAGCTGTATAGAGTTGCAATGCTAACTGGAGTAAGCTAGCGGAGATTTGGGGAATTACAATGAGTGTGTAATAACACCAACACTACTGATAGAATCTAATTTGTATCAACAAAAAAAGGCATATATGACATAATTTCGTTTTGTATGTATTTGTTTTTATGATTTTGTGGCTATTTGTTATATTTGCAGTTCTGCATGAGTATGGCAGAAAACACAGCAGACACGCGAGTTAACGCAATGTTTATTGTTTTGCAGAAATAAAAGTCAACTACTGCACCACCTTGAGTTTGATTTTTCAAGTGTGCAACAAAATCTGGTGTCAGAAGTGGGATCAGCGGTGCTACGGTGAACGGAGATGGAAGAAGTAGAGTTTGAGGGGCTGCAAGACCAGCTCAGTGAAATCTTGGTACAACTGAACTGTGAGCAATGCAAAATCTCAACTGAAAAACTGAAAACAAAGCACTCGCTGATCAGAATGATAAGTGAAGTAGTTGAAAGGAACATTGAAGATGAGGAGGTGGATGTGGCACGTGAATTTCTTTCTCAGCTGTTAACATGTGCACACGAACTAAAATGGAAGGCTGACAAAACACCGCCTGCAATAGAGAATCCCAATCCAGATGCAGCAGTGATGGCCAGTTTAAAGGAACAGTATGCTTCCCTCCAGTTAACATTTCAAACGGAAGCACAAAAGCTAGAGGAAGAAATGGCTAAATTCACACCAAGTGCCACCCCATCCCCTGCCCCCAGGTTAACTACTCCAGCCCCAGCCCAGTTACCTGAGTTCATAATTCGCAGAGAATTCAAAATCAATGGTCAAAGAGAGCAAGATGGCGCCGGGTCATCTTGCTCTCTGGAGAGAGCAAGATGGCGCCTCAGTAAGAGCTCTGGTGTGCACTATCTGTTCCATGTTGTTTATATTCGTCTGTGATACACTTGCCACCGTGAGGTACGACCGAGAGACACTTCTCTACATTCGGGACCGAGCTTGTGGAGTATCGCAGGTCTTACCCGAACTGAGGTGCTTGGACTTCATTGAGTGCCCCACTCGTGAGGCCCGTCAGACATGGCAGGCGGTCCGCGGCAATGGCCGCGAACAGAGCGGGGGGACTGGGCGTCTCCACCGTGCTCTCCGCGGTGTGGAGCTGGGTACCGGGAGCCGACGTAGGAGGCGCAGACACCGGGGAAAACGAGGCGGTCTGCTCGTGAGATGCCGCTCCTGCAGGACCGCTCTGCCCTCCATCTACCTGGCAAATGTACAGTCTCTGCCCAATAAGACAGACGAGCTCCTGTGTCGTATCCAGAGCCAGCGAGAGGCCCGAGACTGCGCTGTGTTCTGTCTCAGCGAGACGTGGCTCCACACGAACGTCCCGGACTCTGCTGTTCAGCCCCCGGGATTCACCGTTCACCGCGCGGACAGAGATAAGGAGACCACGGGGAAATCCAGAGGTGGAGGTATGTGCTTTTTAATTAATCAGCGCTGGTGCACGGATACTCGCATCGTGAACCATACATGTACTGCCAATCTGGAATGCCTGGTCTTGAGCTGTCGCCCTTTTTATCTTCCGCGGGAGTTTTCTGTGATATTTTTATGCGCTGTTTACATCCACCCACGAGCGGACTATACTGTAGCACTACAGGATCTGAGCGAGATCCTTCATAAATACGAGACTGCTCATCCTAATGCAGTGATTATTGTCGCTGGGGATTTTAACAAATGTAATTTAAAGACTGTACTCCCAAATTTCTACCAACATGTGACTCGAGCTACAAGAGGAGCACAGATCCTGGATCACTGCTACAGCAATGTGAAGGGAGCTTACAGGTCCAGTCTCAGACCTCCATTTGGAAAGTCCGACCACTCCTCTGTTCTCCTTCTTCCCTCATACTCTCAGAGGAGCAGGGAACATAAACCAACCTCACGCACTGTGCAGTGTTGGTCCGAGGAGGCTAGCATGAAGCTACAAGGGTGTTTTGATGCCACTGACTGGTCTGTGTTTCAATCAGAGGATGTTAATGAATTCTGTGACGCTGTGACTGGATACATACGCTTCTGTATTGACTGCTGTGTCCCACAGAAGGTCATTAAAGTACATCTCAGTCAAAACCCTTGGATGAACGCGGAAGTGAAACAAAAACTTCATGAGCGTGCTCTGGCGTTTCAATCTAACGATACAGTTGCCTATAAGCTATCCTGTTATGCATTGAAACGTTCTATTAAATCTGCAAAGCGCAGTTACGGGGACAGGTTAAAGGGTTATTTTAAGGAAGATGACCCTCGGCGCATGTGGAGCGGTATTAAAGCCATCACGTCCTGGAAACCTAGTGCTGGGAAAATCGGATCTGTTGGCCCAGCTCTGCCTAATGAGCTGAACAAGTTCTACTGCCGCTTCGAATCTGCCGATGCCTGTCCTACTGTCTTTCCTGATTGCCTCAATCAAGGTGCGTTCACCGTGACTCAGGAGGCAGTCCAGCGGGTCTTGTCCAGCACCATTGTCCGGAAAGCCCCTGGCCCGGACGGCATCCCTCCTCGCGTCCTGAAACTGTGCTCTGAGCAACTTGCCCCTGTTTTAACAGACATTTTTAACCTGTCGCTAAGGAACTGTACTGTGCCGAACTGCTTCAAAGAGTCGACCATTATCCCAGTTCCTAAGAAAACTCCTGTGACATGCCTTAATGACTATCGCCCTGTGACCCTCACTTCTGTCCTAATGAAGACTTTTGAGCGGCTTGTGCTGGACTTCATTAAGAGCCAGATCCCTGTGAGTGTTGACCCGCTCCAGTTTGCTTACAGACAGAATAGGAGTGTGGAGGATGCCATCTCCTTTGCTCTGAACTCTGTCTACAGTCACTTGGACAATAGGAAATCTGTTGCAAGAATGCTGTTCATTGATTATAGCTCTGCTTTTAATTGTCTTGTCCCAGGTAAACTGATTGAAAAGCTCATGTCTCTCGGCTTAAGTGTTGCCATGTGTAAATGGATCTATAGCTTTTTAACAGACAGATCTCAGAGAGTGAAAATCAATGACTGTTTTTCAGATGTTGTTTCTGTGAGCACTGGATCTCCTCAGGGATGTATTTTGAGTCCTTTACTTTTTACATTGTACACTCATGATTGTGTGTCTTCCTCAGACTCTAACCTGATCATCAAATATGCTGATGACACCACCATCATCGGTCTCATCAGTAATAACGATGAATCGTCTTATAGAGCCGAGATCCAAAACGTGGTTCAGTGGAGTAAGGCTAACAACCTCCAGCTGAACGCATCCAAAACATGTGAACTGGTCTTTGATTTCAGTCGCAATAGTTCTCATTTGCCTGTCGCAATCGATAACTCCCAAGTGCAGATTGTAGAGGAGTGTAAGTTTCTGGGTCTAACTCTGTCTAATGACCTGAAATGGGTTAAAAACACTGACCGGGTCGTAAAGAAAGCTCGTCAGCGTCTTTACTTCCTGCGGAAACTTAGAGAATTTACCACTAACTCTAAGATTCTGCTGAACTTTTATCGCTGCACCATTGAGAGTTTACTTGTTGGTTCTGTGTCTGTGTGGTTCGGTAACATCACAGATAAAGAAAAGAGAGCTCTAAACAAGGTGCTCCGCTCTGCTAAGAGGACTGTAGGCTGTGAACTTCCTGTCCTGGAGGCTCTTTATCAATCCAGACTTTTTAACAGTGCCCTGAGAATTATCAATGACTCTTCTGGCCACCCAGGAAAAGCCTTGAATTCAGAAATGAATCTGAATCTGAATTGGAGAAAGAGGTCAAAAGGACAAGTTATCATACTCTAACTTGATTTATCAGATTGAAATGGGACTGAGAAAAGGACACAGCGAAGCCGAGATAGTGGAAGCTGTGATCAGACCTGTAAGCCCAGGATTGAGTCTCCGTGACATGTTAGAGATAAAAGCAGATTTAACTCTATCTCAACTCCGTACCATCCTCGAAGGTCATTAAAAAGAAGATAGCTCAACAGATCTCTATCATAGATTGATAAATATCACCCAAGAGTGTAATGAGTCCCCACAGAACTTTTTATTCAGAGTGTTGTCAAAAAAAGATTTGACTGACGTGTTCAAAGTTTGATGCAGAAAAACAAGACGAAGATTTCCAAGTTTGACATCTGTATTTAATTTATCTTTACAATCAGATACAGAAATTCAACAAAAGCTCCTATCCTAACTATTTCTGCTCTCCCTCAGCCTCGCCCTATTGTCCGACTGAGCTCAAACATTCACGCAAGGTCATAAGTATAGCACTTCCGATGACGTCATCTCTGTGCGTCTCCGAAGGTTCATTTCCGGGTGTGCTGGCGTCCCTTGTCCACTGGGAGGCGTCAGAACGCCGTTGGTGAATCCCCAGTCTGCTAGGGAGACCAGGTTTGAACTTTGATCTCGCCAGAGAGGGAGAGAGCATTGTTTATTCATGGAGTCAATAATTGTCTGGTTTGTAGGCTGGTATCTTTATGATTCCTGTACTATCTTGTGTCCTTGGGGTTTTTCCTGAGTGCACATTCTTTC